TACTGGAAGGGTTGTGGGAGGGGGGATTGGGCTAAATGGGTAAGGGGCACTAAGGAATCTACTCCTGAAATCATTGTTGCACTATATGCTAATTTGGATGTAAATTTTAATAACAATTAAAAAATAAATGTATTTGTACCAAAAAAATACAAAAACAAAAATAAAAATTCCAAGATCCACAATTCCAATGGAGAAAAAAAAAAAGATAACATCTAGGTTCTTCAGAAGGAATATGTTATTTTATAAGTTCATACAAAATTGTGCACTTTAATGGTTAAAACGGTGAATTTTATGTTACGTGTATTTTATCACAATTTAACAACAACAAAACCCTTTGAGGAATAAACCAAAGGAAACTATACAGATTGAAATGTAAAAGCTTCTATATACCTCTTCTCCCTCTCCTGGCTTTTCTGTCCCTAACTTTTTTTAAGTATGAAATATGTGACATATTGTAATTTACAATAGTTCCTTCTGTCAATCCTATAATGAATTGAAATTAGCAGTAATGGAGGAAAAGGACTAGCAAACACAAGAAACCTGTGCTGTCCTAGAGATCATGAGTATCATTTTAGCATCTTCTCTGTCAGTAGGAAGGATCCACTGGAACTTCCCCCACATTAAGAAACTTCCTTTTATTTGGCAGAACAGGACTGTTGAAACAATGTTTCTCTGAAGTATCAGCAGTACAGAGAGAATTAACAAAACTGGGCAAAGTTCTGATCAAATGTAGTAATTTGTTTCTTCCATAAGAGGGTATGATCCCTTTTTTCCAGAAACTCCTCTGAACACTGCATCATTTTCAAATGCACAGACTTCATATGGCACAGACTTCAGATACAAATAATGCAGATGTCTAATGTCTAATAATGCAGGCAAATCATAATTACTGTCTAGACATTTTAGACATGACCTTTATAGTTTAGATCAATGAGGAAAAATTCTCTAAATTGTATTTTTTAATTTATATGATCAAGGGAAAAATATGTTCATATTAGCTAGTCAAAGTACAAGGGTCAGTTCAACCAACTGTGGCATAAACTGGCAAACGTATGATAAACAACCTTAAAAAAAAATCCTGTAGTAACTTGTGGAAGGTAACATTAACGCCCACGGGTTCACCACCTTCTGTAATGAACATAAGTCTTAATTTCTCTAAGGTTGCCTTTACTGTTGATGGCCCAACCAAGTGATAAATGTTACTGGGAGAAAGGTTCACAAGGCAAAACAGCAGCATTCAAAGATTTAACAATTATTATTTCAGCTGTTGGCAAGCAACACTGAAAGCTGTAATGTATATTAATGTCTTTTTGCTGAGGTTGGTTTTGTGGGAGCAAGTAGCTCATGAATGAGCTTAGATGACTTTCCAGCATTCACATCTTAAGGGCAACATTGTTCTCAACTCCTACATTAAGAGTCTAAAGGAAGGGATGCCTGACTGGCTCAGTCAGAAGAGCATGCAACTCTTGACCTTGGGGTGTCAGGGTCATGAGTTCAAGCTCCACAATGGTGTAGAGATTACTTAATAAAAACGTTTAAGAAAAGAGTCTAAAGGAGTCGTACATTTTTCAGTAATACTTCTCTGCATTTTACAGAGAACTTCAAATACTACAATTGTATTTGCATTTTTAGAGTATCAAAGCTTGTTTGTAAGACTTAACTCTCCCACAAATTAATAGTTGGCCATGTATTTGATAATTTTGCCACATTCTTACAATTCAATGTACAGTAAAACAAGGCCTTTATAAAACTGTAAGTAGGGTCTAAAAAATTTAATCACAAAGTACAAGGTTGTATTATATCGAATTTGCATTATACAAGACCACACTATCATAGAATTGCACTATATTATAAACTTTTCTGATAACATTATGTTTTTAAAATTATAATCCTGGCTGATATTCAAAGCTATGGTGAAAGTTTGTCCTCCTGGGGAAAAACTATAGCTAAACTACAAGGACTCACTGAAAAACACTGGAAATATTCTACTATATACATAAACTATGGTAAAATCATGACAGCTATTAAAACAAGAAACAAAATCACTCATTCATTAAAAAAAAAAAAAAAAGTGTATAGGACACTAAGAGCCAGGCACTCTGCTGGGAATAGAAAGATCAGGCATAGTTCCTTCTCTCCAGAGTGCATGTAAATCCAAGCAGGGAGAATAATTAAACAATTACAAAATGTGATATTATGACTGACAGAAGTACATATTGGTGCAAGTAACTCAGATGAAGTAAAACTAGAAAAAGCTTCCCTAAGTACATATAAGCTTAGACCCAAAAACCAAGGTTAGACTTGGGGTGGGGGGTAGGAAAGAAATGTTCCAGAAAGAAAGAATGGGAGGTGAGAACACAGATTCAAAATGAAAGGGAAAGAAGAGGAGACAGAGCAAGAGAGGGAGAGAGAGAGAGATGCAAGAGATACAGAGAACCTGATATAAGGTGATGAAGCTAAAAAGGTGAAGCAGGAACCAGATCACAAAGAATCTATTTTGTACTCATGCTAAGGCAAAAGAAAACAACTAAAAGGTTTTAAGCAGAAAAATGACAGTAAAATTTGCATATTAGCAATAATATAGCTGAAGTGAAGAATAAATTAGAGGGGCGCCTGGGTGGCTCTGTCGGTTAAGCGTCAACTTCGGTTCAGGTCATGATCTCACGGTTCATGAAATCAAGCCCTACATCCGGCTCTGTGCTGACAGCTTGGAGGCTGCTTGGGATTCACTCTCTCTCCCTCTTGCAAAAATAAATTTTAAAACTTTAAAAAAAAGTTACAAAAAAAAAATTAGAGATGCCATGGGAGGCAGGAAGACAACTGGCTGCTGTTGCAGGTGTCTTGGATTAGAGATGATGGTGGTACGGAGCAGGATTGTGGTAACTGGTATGGAAAGAAAGAAGACTGGCCAGAGAAAGATTGGAAAGATAGATTAACAGGATTGGATTTGGTGACTGGTTGGATGGGGGGAGGAAGAGAGAGAGAGAAATCATTTATTATTCCCAGATTCCTGAACCTGGCAATTAGAGGGAATGATGGTACCAGCTAATCATTTCCCTTCTGCTGGAAATATTTACAAGGTCCTAAAAATATTACAGTGCAAAAAAATGTTTTAGATATGATTCTGGCAAATATGACTTTTACCTCTTGAGCTATCTTCCACCTATTCTGCATAAAATATCAAAATAAGTCTGTATTCTACAAGCACACACCAACAGGGGAAAAAGGAAATTTAATTAGTAAAGAAACATGTTTAGTGTACAAAGAAGGCCAGCTTGAAGTTAAAGTTTGCTATTCAAAGTGAATCTGCAAATTAAAAAGGCAAGGACTGATGGTATCCCAAAACACAGACACAGTGTCTCAAAAGTTTCTTCCTTGAATGATCATATTACCAAAATAAACACAGGAATAGCTTTTTCATACAACTAGGACAGGCTTTTTTCTCAAAAATTTTAAAAGTAGAATTTAACAGAATTTTGGCAAAGAATCTACATTAAAAAAGAGCACCACTCTTTGAAATCCAGTATCAAGAACAAAAGACAGCAGCTTTCAAAACCCATTCATTCAGAAATTTAGGTGCCCTAAACTTCTGTAAATAGATTAGCATAGGCCAAGCAGATTAGTCTCTTTTTAAATACTTTCGTTTTGTCTTTACAAAACTACATCCAATACTGTGAAAACGTGGTCTGCTCTAAGAGAAATTTCAAGAGCTACTCATTCTCTTAAACATTGTATCACCTGTTAAACAAATCTCTTATTAAGTGGATGTATCTATGTATTTATAATGTATATATTTACATGGGAGGTTACAAATTAGAAGATACACCTTCCAGTACTTGCAAAAATTTTTAATGCCATTCTATTCTTTCAAGGCAATTTTATATATCCCAGAATAAGAACTTCCTCACATTGAATGGATTCAATTAATCTATGAAATAAAAATTAGATGCTCCATTCTACAGGTACCTAGCAACCCCCTTAAATCAACTCCCAGGGACTTCTCCCACACACACGATCTCATCAGTTATCTAGGGAGTCTGTGAGGGGTGGGTTATTCTCTTCACTTGCAAAACAGACAGAGCTTGAGTATCTATGGTGTCAAGGAAGGTGTCCAATTAACTGTACAAAAATGAATGAAAACTATTTGTTTTCTGAACTATCCTTGCTTCCTTTAGCCTAAGTAGTAGAAAGACCCAGTTCTCACGAAAACTTACTTTATCAACTCTAGTGAACGTGGTGATTCCTGACTGCTACCACAGGGACTATCCCCCTACTTACACTTCCAAAATCAAACCTCTAACAAAGTTTTCCCACCATCATATCAGACTTTCCTCCCATAGCCTTATGTCTTATTGGTTGGTCTGCAGGTTTCCTAGTCTTTCCTGTTGATAGGCAACATTATCTTAAAATAATTTAAGATCTGTGATAACTTTCACGCCTTAGTTAAGAAAGACGGTGCTAACAGAATAACTTGCCAAAGATTCCTGACGACCGAATGTTTGTTGAACAAAAGAATTATACCGTAAGAAAAAAGCCCTCATAAAGAACATATCCCTAAAGCCACAAATAATTTCTAACATAATTAGAAGTTCATTTAGACAACAGTAATTCAACACTCCCAGACCTCGACAGTTATTACCAAGTTTTCCCATGAAATGGAGGTTAGGGATCTGCCTTAGAACACTAAGAGAGGTAACAGGCTCTAGAACTGAAAGAAGGAAGAGAAACCAGAGAAGAGAAGCATGGTGAAGAAAGAGAAACACTAGCTCTAACGTGGCACGGGGTCTATTCAACAAGAAAAAGACATTTTGAACCGATTTACGAGGAGTAACTCGAGCCCAAACCCTCGCAGACGCTGGGGCGAACTCCGAAGTCTGTGGAAGAAGGCGCCCGAGCCCAGTGACAATGGGAACCGACCCTATCTAGGAGTGGGGGCACCGAGAGGGGACCGTGCCTCGCCTGGGCCACCTTCCCGTCCGCTCGTCAGGAGCGAAACCCACCTGGAGACCGCCATGGCCGGGCGCCGGCGGTTCGGAGCTCCCCGCGAGCTACGCGCCGCGCCGCCGAGGCGCTAGTTTCCAGAGAGCAGAGCGGCGCAGGCCCAGGCCGCGGTCAGAGGGGAGCGGCCGGTGCGGCGCGGAGTGTCCCGCCGCGGGCCCTGGAGCATCTGCCCCGCCGCCTGCCCGAACTCGTCCCCGCCGCGGCCGGGGAGCAAGGGTCTGAGGCGGCGGCGGAGGCGGCAGTCCTCCGACCCGCACGACTTCAAACCGGGGGCCCCCAGCCCCGCTCTTTGCTGACGCAGGCGTCGGCACGCCGGACTGAGCGTCAGCGCGCCGGAAGTGACGTCAGCTCACCGCCAGGGCCTTTGCTACGGAGGGTGAGGCCGAGGAGTGCGAGCAGTTTTTGCTTGGCAGCATGCGCCTGGGAGAAAACGTTTGTGGTCATCTGTTTGTCATTAGCGACGCAGGAAAGATAAATAAGGGTCCCCTTATTTCCTAGAAGGGAAAAAAGGCGATTTAGCCAAGGTTCTGGAAGTTCAAAAACTTGGTCTCTAATTCCTTTACTGCCCTCACCCTCATCCCACCAGATTGCTAGAGAACGCAGGATCCGAAAGACCTTGGGCATGATGCTCTGCTCCAGGTGGCGATGCCAGTGGGAGGGGTGAAAGCAATAAAGATCTGCAGTGGCACTTAGGACACGGCTCCGGTGTTTGCCATATTTACCAGAAGTTCTGCGTAGCTATTGTAGGGAAGGTCTTCCGCCAACCATTTTGCCAAACCAAGTTTGACTTCTTACCTGTTTATGTTGTAGGTACCATAATTTTCTCAACCAGAGGTAAAAATTTCCAGCCCTCTTTTTTTTTTTTTTTTTTTTTTTTTTTTTTGCTAATGTGGCTAGTCAGTCCCTTAGTTCGTTTTGATTTCAAACATTCTTTTGTCACTTAATGCAGGTCCTTACCACCTTAAACTTGATTTTTATGATAGTGGCCAAAGTATTTCTCCAGCTTCTGTAGTTGAGCCCATCTTAGAGGCCACAAGCAGATGAATATTCAAAAACACTGCTTTTATCGTGTCACTCTGTATATAAAACTTGTCCATTGGCGTCTCATTACCTGAAGACTCTATGTCTCAACCCCTGAGTCTGGTTTTCATCTGTAAAATGAAGCTAGTGAGTACTGTAGAAGGTTATGGAAATAAAATGAGGTCATGTATCTAGGGGAGCTTACAAGAAATTTGTAAACCACAAATTAGTATATTAAGGGGAAAGAAACTAACAAGTGCCTGCTATGTAGTAGGCATTTGGCATGCATTATCTCATACTTCTTAGGCCAACCCTGTAAAGTAAATTTTAATCTTGAATTTAGAGGTGAAGCAACTAACATTAGAAAGTTTAAATAATTTGCCCAAGATCCAAGTTAGTAATGTTTACTGTTGTTCATTTATTCAACAAATATTTACTTGGCACCTGCTCTGTGTCAGACACTTCACTAGGCACTGTTTGTACTGTTAGACAACATCTGATTAAGCTGATGTTCAAGTATGTATCTTCACATTTCATGGTCTTTTCACACCTGCCTTCTCAATGTATTTCCCACCACTGAAACTGACAAGCAGGTACCTACTTAACTGATTATGCACTACATTCATTTATTCAGCCAAAATTTAGTATCTACCACTTGCTGACCTCTACTAGAGATTGAAGCTTCAAAAGAAACCAAAACAGACAGGGTGCCCACTCTGGTTGAACTTACACCCTAACGGAAATTAAAAGAGCAAACAGATAAACAAGAAAGCATCATGTTTACGGGGCGCCTGGGTGGCTCAGTCGGTTAAGCATCCGACTTCAGCTCAGGTCATGATCTCACAGTTCGTGAGTTTGAGTCCTGCATCAGGCTCTGTGCTGACAGCTCAGAGCCTGGAGCCTGCTTCAAATTCTATGTCTCTCTCTTGCTCTGCTCCTCCCCAGCTCATGCCCTGTCTCTCTCTCTCTCCTTCAAAAATAAATAAAAACATTAAAAAAAAAGAAAACATCATGTTTATATTCCATGTAAAACCAAATGCTGGGGTAAATTAGACTCTAGGATGATTAGACTCTAGACTGGGTAATAAAGGAAAAACTAGGAGGCACCTAACCTGAGGCATGAATGGCGGGAGGGAGCCAGCTGTGTAAAGATCCGGGGAGACTTTCAGGTAGAGGATACACCTAGCGTAAAAGCCAAGGAGAAGTCTACTGTGTTGGGAAACAAACTGGGAGAGATAGAAAGGGGCCATCGTAAGGAATTTGGATTTCACTCTAGATGCAGTAGAAAGTCGTAGGAGAGTTTTAACATGTGAATAAAATGATCTGATCTATATTTTAAAAATATGACTCTGTAATAATCCAAGAGGTGAGTAGATATATAGTTCTAAATGACATTTAGAAGAGAGGAAATGACTAATATCATGGGTTTGTAAGGGATGGTGTAATAATCAAATATATTGATGTCAGACTGACTTGATTTTAAATCCTTCCTCACCACACTTAACAGCTGTGTGTCCAGGGGAGTCATGTAACCTTTCTTAGCTTCAATTCTTTCACCTGTGAAATGGGGATAATAATAGGACCTCTTAGGGTGGTAGTAAGGATTAAATGAGATAATGAATAAAATGCATTTAGCCAAGTGACTGCCACAGTAAGCACGCAAAAATATTATTAATGACATTGATTATTCTTTTTGTTAACTATGTGACCTTGAGCAAGAGACTTAACTTCTATGTGTCCATGTCATCATCTGTGAAATGGGGATGATCATTATACTGGTCCACAACACATATCTGAAATCTCTGTCAGGTGGTTTTCTGAATTTAAAGGTTTTTTTAAGATTTAGATTTAGATTTTAGGTTCTGATTGGATTTAGTAATCCAATGCATATACCTTGTATTATGTCATACCCCAACAGCTCCTAGGGCAGCACCCTATAATCAAATACATTTATAGCTCTGCAGCAAAATGTATGAATAGCCATATTAACAGGAATAAATCAAAGACTGTAAATAGCTCTATGCCAGGTCAGGTCAGGTTTTGCTGCCAAATGAATTTTTTTAAGTATGGTTTTTAGATCCTTTTCAGTTTCAGAATTGTAAATAATGGATTATGAACCTGTACTCTGTAAAGTTATGGTAAGGATTAAATGACTGATACATGATACACTTAAAAAATATTAAGTGCTAAATAAATATTAGCTCTTATTTTTTACCATCAGAAAGGTGGTTTCAAAAATCAATGGAAAAAGAACAAACTATTGAATAAAGAATGATGGAAAATTGGCTCTCCATGTGCAGGGAAAAATCAAATCCCTACTTCATACCATATCCCAAAAGAAATCTCAGATGGATTAAAGCTTTAAAAGTGAAAAACTTCTACTAAAAGTAGAAAAAGTTCTATACTAGGGGTGCCTGGCTGGCTCAGTCGGTAGAGCACGTGACTCTTGATCTCAGGGTTGTGAGTTTAAGCCCCAGGTTGGCTGTAGAACTTACTTTACAAAAAAAAAAAAAAAGGGGCATCTGGGTGGCTCAGTCAGTTAAGTGCCAGACTTCGGCTCAGGTCATGATCTCATGGTTCGTGGACTTGAGCCCTGTGTCAGGCTCTGTGCCAACAGCTCAGAGCCTGGAGCCTGCTTCGGTTTCTCTCTCTCTCTCTCTCTCTCTCTCTCTCTCTCTGTCTCTCACAAAAAAATAAACAAAAAATAAATATTTTTTTCTTAATAAAATAGGGTTGCCTGGGTGGCTCAGTCGGTTAAGCGTCCAACTCTGTTTTGGCTCAGGTCATGATCTCATGGCTCGTGAGTTGGAGCCCCACATCAGGCTCTGTGCTGATAGTGCAGAGCCTGCTTGGGATTCTCTCCCTCTCTCTGTGCCCCTCCCCTGCACGTATGCTCACTCTCTCTCTCTCTCTCAAAATAAATGGATAAACTTTAAAAATTTTCAATTTCAAGATCCTCAACCTCCGTGTGCATGTTTTCCTCCACCTGTTTCTCTCGACCACAGGCATGCATATGGACCTATGGTTGGAGTATTACTCTGGTTCTCCTTTTATACCTCCTTTCACAATTGCCGTTCTCTCCGTTGACTAAAGAAAGGCACAGTTACCATCTATTTCAAATCTCATTTGAGACTTTATATAATATTTACTACATGTACATTTTTGTATATTTTTATTTCTTCTTACTATTTTTAGTTTTTTCCATACCCAATGTGGGGATTGAACTTAACACCCTGAGATCAAGAGTCACATGCTCTACAGACTGAGCCAGCCAGGCACCCCCTACATTTTTGTTTTTAAAATTTAAGCATGACGCAACACTATGTAGTCCTAATAACTTTGATATGAAAGTCTAGTTAATTTAACGGGATAATCTACACTTTTCTGTTCATATCAAACTCCCTTTGATCACATGAGAAGGAAGGATAAAGTTAGTGGATGTATCATTCCACTATCTTCCCAGCATCCCCTGCAGTTATAGTGGCCACATGACATAGTTTTGGCCAATGAGATATAAGTCTGGTAAGAATTAGTGCGAAGACTTTCTTCTTTCTTGAGACAAACATTACCTCTTACTCCTTTGTTTTCCTGGATGTATGATGCCTGGAGGTGAAGCAGCCATCGTTCCAGCTCTCTCAGAAAAGGTTGTCTCAGAAGCTGACTCTATTCTCATCTCCTGGGTAGTCTAAGGATAATTCCATTCCCTTTGCCAATGGTTAGTTTAGTTATGGGTGCGTGACCTAATTCTGCACACTTTGTTGTGAAGTTTGCTGTCAGCTTCTAAGAAAGTCCTTTCCTGTTTTTCAAAAAGAGACTCGTGGAATCCAATTTTCCCCCCACCCCACCCTGTCCCCTTTCCCTGTGTGTTTTGCTTTCGTAATATACAAGTTTTAGGGTTTAGTGAGTTCAAGTTCACCTATTTTTTCCTCAGTGGTAAATATGATAAGAGATGCATTAAGGAATCCTTTCCTATCCCAAGATCAAATATTCTTCAATATAATTTCCTGATAGTTTTAGAGTTCTGTTTTTCTTTTCTTTTTATTTAACAACATTTTTAATGTTTATTTATTTATTTTGAGAGAGAGAGAGAGAGAGAGAGAGAGAGAGAGAGAGAGAGCATGAGCAGGGGAAGGGCAGAGAGAGCGGGAGAGACAGAATCCCAAGCAGGCTCCACACCATAAGCACAGAGCCTAATGTGGGGCTCAAACTCATGAACCGTGAGATCATGACCCGAGTGGGAACCAAGAGCCAGAGGCTTAATCAACTGAGCCACCCAGGTGCCCTTGAAC